GTAATCCCCAATGCCGAGCAAGGAGCATGCCCCAGTCCCTTGCCACCCACTACCTCCATCCTGTGTGTGTAGAGAAAGTAATGGCACTCACCTGATGTGCCTTCCCCAGCCTCAGATGGTGCCTGGGAGACATCCAGGGCATGAGGTACTGGCTCCAGGGTGAACATGGTGATGGTGCTGGCCTCATCCAGCTGTTCCTCTTCCTCCTCCACGTCTCTGTCCCCCAGAAGGGTGACAACAGGTGTTTCCAGCTGTGAATCCACTGCCGGGGGGAAGGGACTGACTCGCCCCCTAGGATGCGGTGCAGGTCTGTACAGTAGAGTTCAGCCCCGGAGCAGGAGCTGGGCTCTCTAATCTTGGCATAGGACTGGCAGAACTCCTTTACTTTCATCTGCACCTGCCCCTGGGTGTGGATGTGCCCCCAAAATAAACCGCCTTCTATTTCACATGTCCCTGTGGCTGGTGCAGAGATCCTGGAGGTTTGCCTCCTTTCCCCAGACCTCATTGAGGGTCAGGATCACTGCACCAGACCGGGAAGGTGCATTCCTTTTCCGTCCCCAGGCAGCATCCTAGGAGCCTGCTGCCTGCTCAGCTAGAGCCATGGAGGGCTCAGATGGAGTATGGGAGTGTCTCTGCTGTGCAGACTGCTACTCTGTGGTTCAGGGCTGTCAGGGCCTGCCATGTACTACAAGCCTTTTCTCCTAAGGCTGCACCTTTGAGGCCTGCAGGGGAAGGTGTACTATAGAGTTTTGATGAGTGTGGACAGAGGGGCCAGCAAGGCACCTGTGGGAAGGGTGGGAGGCCAATTATTTCTAAATAACTCCAGCTGCCCTGTCTACACACACCCTATTCCGAAATAGCTATTTCAGAATAGGTGTTATTCCTCATAAAATGAGGTTTACAGAATCTGAAATAAGTCACCTGTTATTTTGAAATTATTTAGAAATAATGGGCTTGCTGTGTAGACTCTTGCAATGTTATTTCAGAATAATGTCCATTATTCCAAAATAATGCTGTTGTGTAGACGTACCCTAAGTTCTCTGTTTTCTCCACCCTCCGTTACAGTTTACTTGCGCTAATAAATTGTCAATGACCTGTAAAATTGCAAGGCTGGTTTTCTATTCTGATTTCCTGTACCTGCCTATCTACGTGTGGAACTGTTGGTCAAGAACTTCTTTCTGTATCCTACCTCTTCCTTGGGTTATATGAATATTTATTCCTGATTCTCTTCTCACATCTCCAACCATTGTATTAGTGTCTAGTTTATGGTGGCTTCTTCACTCCTCTTCTAGTTTTGGGGGGTTCTGTCTATGATTACTTCTACATGTTATTACTGAGCAGTATAATTGATATAAATGTGTGGTCTTACCTGTCTTCTTGCAGATAATATAGTTAGTTGTCTTGACAGTTTATTCAGTATTGTTTTGAGTTTGCATCTATAAAGGCTCTATGCTGTATCTTATTGGCTAATGTATAATTGAGTTGCGTCTATGAAAATATTGGGATGTGTTAGTTATTACTTGTGAAGTGATTAATCATTTTTAGGTTTATTCTGAAACTTAATATTTTAATGTTTTTAACTCTTCAGGCACAACATGGGGTTTCCCATAGTAGAATGTTCTTCTGATGGACATTTTACTCTATCCAAACCACCTGATACAGGGGGCCTAATCTCTTTTGGCACGGTGGCTGAACAGTTGGTATATGAAATTGGCAATCCTCAGCGTTATCTCTTGCCAGACGTTACATGTGACTTTTCTCAAGTTTCCATTACTGAAATTCCAGGTTAGTAGCTGTTTCCAGTAGAGGACCCTTATATTAAGGAAATCTGCTTAGTAAGTTATGTTGTCAAGGTAAAGTAGTTACTGCAGTTTCCATACTTTCCATGTAGCTTTACTTGCTAAATCTGTTCTTCTGAAGAACAGATTAAGATGGGCTAACTCACAAGAATATCCAGATTTCTTGGTGTCAGTCTTTGGAAATTTGCATTAGCTGTGACCCATTCAGCATATTTTTGAGTAACCTAATTATTTGTTTCTTAATTAAATTACACATATAATATATACTAAGTTTATTAAACAATGTATTTCTATAGCACTTCAAATATTTTTGCTGGGACTTTCAGGAAGTACTCCCCTACTCTTTTATATTTCACTAAATATTAGTCCAGCTCACCTTCTTTTTGTTACTAGTTATTGATACAGTGCCTCCTTCTCTCTCACTCCCACACATATTCATTCTCTTGGCAATGACAGCACATGATAAAGCTTTGTTTTTTTAGCCACTTAACGGTGTCACCTTAAAGAGTAAGATTTTTCAGCTAGAGAACACCTATTATAGAAATCCTATCCCACTATCCTCCAAAATACTTTAATTGCAGGCCCAGATTTGAATACTAGACTTCAAGATCAGTAGTTTGGATAAGCCATCTTGCTAACCTGGCTCATTTAGAGTAACTTGACATCTTTTAATTCTTAGTCCTCATGTTTTATAGACAAACCAGCTTAAACAAGAATTTGCTTTTTATGGATCTTACCCAATATGGGAATCTAATTTCCTTATACAACCCCAAACAATTAAAACTCAAACTAAAAACTCAAACCTAAACTTCATATTAGCTTTATTTTTAAGGAAAACATTTCTGTCTTAAAATTGTACAGTTAACTTTCTGCTCATGCAACATAATCAAATGACAAATAGTCTGATAAGGCCAGCTTGTTGCTTTTAGCCACTAGTCTTTTTTTTTTTTTTTTTTTTAAATAGAACCTTAACCTTCCAATGAACTTTTAGCTTGTAAATGACCCGATATGACACGTTTGAACTTCAAATGAACTTTCACATGAACTTTCAGTTAGTCCTCCTCTTAGAAATATAACAGATGGACGATAGGCAGATTTCTTAAATACTTTTAGTTTTAAGTGCTTTGACATGTACACCAGAAAGAACAGGGCATGCTATCTATTTGTGATGTTCACATTGCAGATTTTATTGTACTGAAGGATTAGTTACAATACATGCTTGAACTAAGAGGTATTGCTGCTTTCTTTCAGATGATGGATGTCATTCATTTCTTCTTCACCTTGTTTAAAAATCCTGCAGATCTTTCATCTGATTGCAGAAATATTATTCTTTAATAGCAGAGGGGCAGGTTAAAATAACCCTAAGTGAACCTTGCTATTATTGTATTTTTGATAGTGTCATTTAAAATTATTGTAAATTTTCATTCTTCAGAAGGTATCAGAAGAAGTTCTCTTTATTTTTGGAATATTTGTATGATGACTTCCATATTTTGCTAAACACTTGCAGACATAGATTTATTAGAGACAAGCTGAATCTTATTTAAATGTAGGTGGGGTTATACATACAGGCTACGTCTAGACTACATCCCTTTTTTGTAAAAGGGATGTAAATTAGACGTATCGCAATTGCTAATGAAGCGAGGATTTAAATCTCCCCCGCTTCCTTAGCATAAAAATGGCTGCCGTTTTTTTTTCGGCACGGAGCTTTGCCGGAAAAAAGCGCCAGACTAGACGCTGATCTTGCGATCTTTCGGAAAAGGCTTTATTTTCCGCAAGATCAGCGTCTAGACTGGCGCTTTTTCCCGGCAAAGCTCCGTGCCGAAAAAAAAGCGGCAGCCATTTTTATGCTAATGAAGCGGGGGAGATTTAAATCCCCGATTCATTAGCAATTGCGATACGTCTAATTTACATCCCTTTTACGAAAAAGGGATGTAGTCTAGACGTAGCCACATTGAATAAGACCTTGATCCTGCATTACTGAAGTCAGTTGGAACATTGCAGTTGACTTCATTGGTACAGGATCAAGCCCTAAGATTAGAGAGACAGTGCTTTGACTGACTTCTTACTCATGTTATGATATGTAGTATCAAATACATTATTTGCCCTGAAATGTTTTTTAGGTTATCTTGCTGCTGTTATCAACAGGGTTAGTAAGGCTACATAAGGCCTATAACTTTTACCATCGAGTTCCAGCCAGGACATAGTAGCCTACCATTTCCCTCCAGACAGACTCTTGTCTTTCTCCTTCTGTTAATTCCTTAATCTTTCCAAGTGAAGCAGCCCAGCCCACAAGCGAACTGCAGTCAGTGGTGTGATACATTATCACTTGCTACTCTCTTTCCAATTCTCTTTCTGTGAAACCCTCCTCAGTTGGGAGAGGGGGTCAGGTCACAGTCCCAGAGATCTAAGAATTTCAACTTAATATGCCGCTAAATGTCAATAGTTTAAGATTTTTTAAAAGAAATGCAAAATCCTTGAATTTACTAGGAATTGTAGATGTGTGTTTTCAATAGAGCAGAAAACAAAAGTTGAGTCCTAAGGCTATGTCATGTTGCGTATTGAACTAAATTACATAAATATTCCAACAGTTATGTTAAAAGGCAAATTGAACATAGTCCATGGATTTGTACACCATGAAGTAGATGTTTGATTTGCTAATGCAGATGAGACTATTCAATAGAAGACTTTCTCATTTGCATGGACCTTGATAGGAATGTTAGTGACATTCTTGGTTTGCATTATGTCACAAACAGAAATTATATTGAAGTTATTAAAATAGATATTTTTAAACATTCTAGGTATTGAAGGTGGGGCAGTGAAAATTCATGGAGCAAAAGGATCACCTCCTTCAACATTTTATAAGGTTCTTTTCTTATTACTTTGATAATTATGTAGAACGAAATGTTCTTGAATTGTGAAATGTTGATATTTTGGAGAAAAAAACAATACTACTAGAAGGTGAAACACTTTTCCACACCTAGTGTTTTGACACACATAAGTGAAATTGCTATATCCTAAAGTGAGGTTATAAGTCTGTGAGCAAGTCCAGAGAACACCATAGTAAATAAGATTGAGGATTCCTTTAATTATAAAATTCTGCTTTCAGTCACAAAATCATATTTTAATTAAAGTTGTCATTATTTTTAAGTTAGCTCTCAAATCCTATCTTGGTTCAGTGTGAAACATCTTAAGCACATGATTCCCAAAGACAAAATACTGCATAATTACTGATACTAGGATCACTCTTTGCTGTTTCAAAAAGGTCCTGTGAAAGATTGATGAATTAATGTTCATAATGTTTTATATGACCCTATTGGAAGATGCTACGTAAATGATTTTTTTTTTAATTATGGGTTACCATAGTCTTGTAGTGGTCTTTACTCCCTTCAGTGACACCAATTTAGGCAAGCAAATTCCAGGTAAACCAATAGTGAAACTTCAACTTTGTGAACAAGATTGGATCCATAAATTAAAACTGCTGTTAGTAGTACAGGCTGAACCTTTCTAGTCCTGCATCATTGGGACTGCAACACCAGAGAATTTGCCCGGCCACTGGAGGTCAATATTATCTAGCAGCATTAACAACACTTCCACTGCTTACTGGGCTGTTAGAAGACATTTAAGAATAAAGTAGAGCTAACTAACAGCACAGAGCACTGAGAGCTAGGACTGCTGGCTGTAAACAAACTTTATGGGACCACAGGAAACTTGGCCACATAAGTGGACATCTGGCTAACTCTTATGCTGGACCACAGATATTGCCGGATCAAAGCAGAGGTGATTTGACTGGATCTATTTAAAATTATTAAATTATGTTTTTATAGAAGGAATAGAATCTATAAATACGCTGGCATTATTGTATATGTGATAAATTATAGCCCAGACAATTTTTTAAATGTCCAATGATTACATTTAAAATATTTCTGTCAGCTTGAAAGAATATATATAATATAATGTATATGATGCATTTTATATCTCAAGGTAGTGTTTAAGTTACCTTTTAAAAAAAGGTATTTAAGATTTTAAAATAAGCAGTATTGTTGTCAAATAAGATGGAAGTATGGTTTTGGACATAGGTAATCTCAGTGCAGAAGCCATATGAATCTCTAAAGTCATTGGGTTGGAGTATGCTACTCTTTTACATATAAATGAATAGTGCCAATTTCTTTTTTCTCTGGTACTCAAGCAGTCCTTAAGCTTTACACTCATACATTATTTTTCAAATAATCATCTTTATGTCTGCTTTATAAAGGAATATATTTTGTCTTTAACCATCACAGTAATGACTATATAATCTATGACTGAATAGGCCATGACAGTCTCCTAATTAACGAGGTGTTGGTTATTTGTAGGCATAGTCTCCACCCTCTGTACAAAATTAACTGATTGGCCTTGTATATTTTTTCAGTCTTTCAGTATTAGATAAAGATTTCTAGTTACATAATGTTAGAATAAAAAACTCTCATGGTGGTCTCTGCCTGGGAACAAACTTTTCCCTCAGGTTTGGGGGAGGGGAGAGTTTCAGTTGTTTTTGAACTCTAAAAATAAATTTAAGTAATTAAGAGGATTTCTGATTAGTCACTGATAGAATTCAGATTGCTTTGTTTTCCAGAATCAGATTTAAGTAGTGCGTTTTCTTCATTGAGGACTAATCATTGCAATTTTTATATTAAAAAAATATAATTTTAAAAATAATAAATATATTCTAAAAATGACACTGAATAAAAAAGGCATTACATTTCATATCAAAAGCACTTGAATTCAACATTTGAAGGAACTAGCAAAAAATTTAGATACATAATATTTATATTAAGAAAAATAATTAAAATATGAACTCTCATGTATTACAGGATAGTAAAATAGTACTAAAATTAATTGTACATAAGTCAACAGGACATTTCAAAATAGTTCTTTAGAGACATTATTAGGATATATACTGTAATGAAAATGTTAATGATAAAATGTTGGGTGGCCTTACTGAATTTTTGTTCTGAAAAATCAATGTGACATTAATCAGACTTATTTATATTTGTATGTATTAGTTTTGTGGAATTGTTTACTCAGAATCTCAGATAACATAATGAATGGGCAGGTATTTTGCTTACATAATCCTCTCCACAATAAAACAAAAACTTAGACCTATGAGGAAAGTTCTAAATATGTATAGCTGTGTTAAGTGGAGGGGCGTGCCAATAGAGTAAGTGTGTTTGAAGGGTAAAGGAAAATGCAGGAAGAAAAAATATTTAGAGAAAATATGACTTTTACAGTAAACTATGAAAAATCTTTCTATTCATTTTATAATCTTTAATTACTAGGTAAATGCCACTTACCTGGATGGTTTTAGAGCTACAGCTGTCTGCACAGTGGTAGGGCCAAAAGCAGTAGAAAAAGGAAGACGAACTGCAGAAAGCATTCTGAAAAGGTATTTATTAGAAATATGCTTTATTTTTGTTGTTTAAATTGGAAATCAAAATATAATGATAAATTGTATTAATAAGCTGGCAGTCTTATCAACTAGTAGATATCCTCAAATATTGCATTCTTTTACATGGAAGGACATCTCAAGATATAAATGATGTAAATTATAGAACCTCTTTTCCTTTCTCCATAAAATCGTTATGCAGCTACAAAATACTAGTGACATGATTTATCAGCAAATAGATTGTTTCTGGATGTGCAAGAAGTGAAGTGAATAACTTGCTAACTTTGGACCAGGGCCCAGTTTCTGTCTTAAGGCATCCTAATGACATTTTGGAACCTCAGAACAGTTTTCTTATTTTATTGAACAAACTTTAAAAACTATTGGTCCCCATCCAGAGGTCTGGGCATATATCTTCCCATACATTTAAAAATCTTAACATAAAGGACTGCCTATAAAAGATACCTGCTTACACCTGAACAAAAAAGGGGATTAAATAAAGGTCTAGAAGTTTAGTGCATCTTAGCTTTCATAGACCAAGGGCAGAGAAGTGCGTTGTACAGTCAGTGACCCCTCTCAGAGAATATCCTTTTCTTTATATTGAAACTCCATCTCAAGTGATTGGTTCTGCCAACTCAACTGATTTTGGTTCCAACTCAACTGATTTTGGTTCTGCCAGAATGAGACTGGGACAATCAGTCTCCCAGGTAAATAGGTGTTTATATACACAGAGAAAAAAGCCCATAGTAGCTAGCATTTGTTACTCCACATTAACTCCCACTGTGGATGGACACTTTTACAATGTGCTAAGAGTGCCATTTTGCACATTAGCTTTAATATATGATGCACAAGTTAAACTATCTAAAGGAATTTGTAGTGCTCAGTAAGAGTATCTACAGGGGATTCAATGCGGAGTAGCTAGTACACTTCAAATTCATGCCCTAAATTATTGCTAAATTTCCTGTGTGCAAAGTCTGAGGTCTCAAACTCTTAGGCATTTATAGATTAAAACCAACTTCTTGAATTCTGTCCAGAAATGTATTGGAATTCAGTGCAGATCCTGAAGTGCTGGGCTAACACGCTTTTAATATGCAACTCCACTTAGAGTAGGTCTACATTACTGCTTAAGTTGATGTAACTTACAGCACTCAGGAGTCTGAAAAAGATACCCCCTTGAGCGAATCAAGTTACAGCAACTTAAGCACTGTCCACACAGGTGCTGTGTCCCAATAGTCTAATTTATGTCAATCTGGGAGGTGGAATAATTATGCCAATGGGAGTGCTCCCCTGTCAGCACAGAGTGTCTTCAGCAGATGCGTGACAACAGCGCAGCTACACTGCTGTAATGCTTCTATGTAAGCTACCCTTAAAATGCCACAAACTGGTCATTCCTCCATTTTAACTCAAAAACGGGTGGATGGATTAAAGTGCCTGTCAAGTCAGGACTGAGCTAGCATTTACAGGAAGCCCAGCTAAGAAACAAAGCCATAATTCTGCTTTGGGTAGGAACTCTTTAAAGTAGCAATGCTATTGGGGCTACAATAAAATGACTGCAAGTCCCACAACAAAGGTTGGGTCAAAGGACACACAGAACATAGCTATGTACTGAAAGCTGCTACAGAACATATTTCAAACTTAAGCACCTGAATTTTATAAGTATCTGTTTACTTCATTGGGTGCAAGATTGCTCAGTGGATCAAAAAAATGTTGGCCTCTTGTTTTTAGTGTCATGCCTGATTTTAGAATCCAAGTTTGCTCATGGCTTTGCATAAGCTAAGAATGATAGATTATCTTACATAAGAACATAACATAAGAACGGCCGTACTGGGTCAGACCAAAGGTCCATCTAGCCCAGTATCCTGTCTACCGACAGTGGCCAGCACCAGGTACCCCAGAGAGGGTTGACCGAAGACAATGATCAAGCGATTTGTCTCCTGCCATCCCTCTCCAGCCTCTGACAAACAGAGGCCAAGGACACCATTTTATCCCCTGGCTAATAGCCTTTTATGGACCTAACCTCCATGAATTTATCCAGCTTCTCTTTAAACTCTATTATAGTCCTAGCCTTCACCGCCTCCTCTGGCAAGGAGTTCCACAGGTTGACAACACGCTGTGTGAAGAAGAACTTCCTTTTATTAGTTTTAAACCTGCTACCCATTAATTTCATTTGGTGTCCTCTAGTTCTTCTATTATGGGAATTAATAAATAACTTTTCTTTATCAGCCCTCTCCACATCACTCATGATTTTATATACCTCTATCATATCCCCCCTCAGTCTCCTCTTTTCTAAACTGAAAAATCCCAGTCTCTTTAGCCTCTCCTCATATGGGACCCGTTCCAAACCCCTAATCATTTTAGTTGCCCTTTTCTGAACCCTTTCCAAGGCCAAAATATCTTTTTTGAGGTGAGGAGACCACATCTGTACACAGTATTCAAGATGTGGGCGTACCATAGTTTTATACAGGGGCAGTAAGATGTTCTGGGTCTTATTTTCTATCCCTTTCCTAATAATTCCTAGCATCCTATTTGCCTTTTTGACCGCCGCTGCACACTGTGTGGAAGTTTTCAGGGAACTGTCCACGATAACTCCAAGATCTCTTTCCTGATTTGTCATAGCCAAATTAGCCCCCATCATACTGTACGTATAGTTGGGGTTATTTTTCCCGATGTGCATTACTTTACACTTATCCACATTAAATTTCATTTGCCATTTTGTTGCCCAATCACTCAGTTTGGTGAGATCTTCTTGGAGTCCCTCACAGTCTGCTTCTGTCTTGACTATCCTAAACAGTTTGGTATCATCTGCAAACTTTACTACGTCACTGCTTACCCCTTTCTCCAGATCATTTATGAATAAGTTGAAAAGGATTGGTCATGCCTGATCTTATAGCGATCACTGGGATACGACTAGACTACAAGTTTTTGTTGAAAAAAAGTACGTAAAATGTGCTCCACATTTTGCATACCTTTTTCCAATTCTTTTGTCGGAAGAGGCTTTTCTGACATGTCGGAAAAAAACCCTCTTTCTGAAGCCCCCTTCTTCCTCATAGAACGAGGAATACAGGGACTTCCAAAAGAATGTGTTTGCTCTTCTGCAAGAAAAAGTGGAGGAGCAAATGCATTCCCTGGATGCGGCAGAGTTTTTTTTTTTTCGGAATACCAGAAGTATCCCGAAATCTCCCCCGCTCCCCGCAGTCTAGCCATACCCTGTGAAATCTCAGAAAACTTCTTTCTTATGTGTATTTCTCCGTGTCACTAGATGATACTATAGAGTGTTTTGCTACTTCTGAGAGAAAACACAGCCTCTGACAACAGTTTGAGGTGATTGCATTGAGAGGTTAAATGGTGTCCCTGGTTTGAGGCTGAGGAAAGAATTTGGAAGCTTTTAGACACAGGCACATTCAAACTGTACGTGCCACTGGGGTTTGTCTGAAAGAAATAAAGAGTTTTGCCACAGGTTCCAAGGATACCCCCAAGGCCTGTTCAAATTCCAGAGAATCCATAAGAGGCACATAGCTATATCTGCAAGTTGTAATTTATTCTAAAGTCTCTCTCCTGAATTAATACATCCACCAGCCATTTTGGCTTCTCCATCTCTCCATTCAGAGCAGCCTACTTTTGAGTCTGTGCTGATTGGCTACAGGCTTCCCAGCAGTTCTACTGCTGTGGTTTGTGGTGGGGGATGTGTCTCAAAGTCCAGGCTTCAGCCTGAGCCTGAACATCTACACTGCAGTTTTTAGCCCTGCAGCCCAAGCCCAGTTTGGTTCACCCAAGCTTTGAGACTCTGTGCCACAGTCTGTCATTGCAATACAGACATAGCCAAAGTGAGTCAGTAGCTGAGCTCATATTAGAACTCAGGAGTCCTTGGCTCTTTACTCTAGACTGTGATGTCTGGAATACTGTAATTCCTGTCCCTTTTTTCTCATTTCCAGTTGCTTTAGCATCTGGTAAAATTCAAATTTAAATTTTATGGCAGTTTGCTTTTAACTAATAAAAGTTATGTAAATACCATCTAAAATTAAATCCTAAATCTATCAAAAATAGGTCAACCTATGTTATCTGTGACTGCTGAAGATGATCTGCAAAGGAAAAATGGGTATATACTTTTTTTTAATGCATTATGAAGGAAGCTAGAAAGATGTTTTTCCACTGTTTTTTCCCCTTTCCTCTCTCCTGCTCGTTGTTAACCATAGACACATTGGGAAAGTCAAGTGTTGTCTTCCTGGGTATGTCTACACTACCACCCTAGTTCGAACTAGGGTGGTTAATGTAGGCAACCGAAGTTGCAAATGAAGCCCGGGATTTGAATTTCCCGGGCTTCATTTGCATCTTGCCAGGCGCCGCCATTTTAAAATGTCCGCTACTTCAGACTCCGTGCTCACGGCTACATGCGGCACGCGGCACGTTCCACGAGGAGTAATGGTAGTTCGGAATAAGAAGCCTAATCCGAACTACCTAGTCCGTGCCACGTGTAGCCGCGGGCACAGAGTCCGAACTAGCGGACATTTAAAAATGGCGGCGCCTGGCAAGATGCAAATGAAGCCCGGGAAATTCAAATCCCGGGCTTCATTTGCAACTTCGGTTGCCTACATTAACCACCCTAGTTCGAACTAGTGTGGTAGTGTAGACATACCCCCTGTTTTTAGTGGAAGTCTCCAATGGGAAGGAATATAGAGAAATGTACTTATAGCTTCTCAGCTCTTGACTGAAGAGCTGGGGATATTAAAAATTCAACAAATAACTTTTCTTCGGACTGTCCTTAGGCATTTAATACAAAGAGGGATTAACACAAAACAAGGAATTTTAAGTCTGAATAAAAATGCTTCCTCAATTCAGTCAAGTAGATTTCACTTCCTTGGTATTTGTGATATCATTCATGTATTTCTTAATTATTCATAGAGTTTTCCAGGAAGAACAAAGATAGGTGCTGAATTTCTAATGTAAAAGTAAGCAGAATGTATTAATGTTAATAACATTTTCAGCTTTCTTCATTTATCAGAATGAAGCAAATAAAAAAGTACAAGCCCATTGATTTTTCCTTTGCAGGCCATCTTTAGAATAAATTAAATAAACAGAAATTTAGAATCGAGATATCCAGACATATTTTGAGTATAACTAACTTGATATTAACACTATGATAGAGAAATAAATTTACCCAGAAAAGAAGTATTCAAATCCAGATTTAACTAGCACACAGAACTAAAACTGATGGCCTGCACTGTTACTGCATATAATCTTTTTGAAGCAGCTTGCTAATAACAAAAAATCTGTTGCAGGACTCGCCTTATTTTCAGTCAGCTTGGGTATGAAGACTACTGTTCAGTTAACATACAGCTCTTAGGTTCTGAAGAAACATATGGACCCCATGCTAAAAAGAAAACAGATGATGTAAGTATTAAGCAGAAAATTATGAAGTTATCTATTTTAATTCCCCCATGTTGTTCTCTTTATATAACTTTTAAGAAGAGTTACAACATCTTTCAAAGACTTTTGCACATTCCTAACTTTAGGTTCATGGATATACCCATGAACATCAATGTTAGTACTCAAAAATTAACTAATGAGTAACTCTTTATAGGATTGAGATATTTCTGTGTGATAAATACATAATTATGAAATCTAAAGAAACACTTTTCAAGTAATGTGTGTGAGTAAAGTAATATATGTCCAAGAACAACCCTCATAATAGTAGTGGGTTTGAGGGGAGTTAACCTTTCCCTATGCTATCCAAAACTAAACAAAATGTTTGGCTAGAGTTTCCCCTACAATATGTACCAGTTCCGACTTACATACAAATTCAACTTAACAAACCTACAGTCCCTATCTTGTACGTAACCCGGGGACTGCCTGTACATGAATTCATGGTACACCCACATTTCGACTACTGCATGCAGATGTGGTCACCACATCTCAAACGAAGATATATTGGAATTAGAAAAAGTTCTGAAAAGGAAAACAAAAATTATTAGAAGTGTGGAACAGATTCTGTATGAAGAGAGATTAATAAACCTGGGACTTTTCAGCATGGAAGAGATGATTAAGAGTGATATGACTGAAAGCTATAAAATCATGACTGGTATAGAGAAAGAAGAGAAAGAAGTGCAATTTATGCCTTCATTCGGTGAACTAGAGATCACCAAATTAAATAGATAGATAACAGGTTTAAAACAAACAAAAGAAAGTAGTTATTTACACAATGCACAGTCATCAACCTGTGGAATTCTTTGTATGAGGATGTTGTGAAGGTCAGGTCATTAACAGGATACAAAATGAACTAGATAAGTTCATGGAAGTTAGGTCCGGAGACCACTTTGAGAAACACATTGCCCATTCCCAGAAAGCTGATAGTCATTTGTAGAACTGATATACCGTATTTTCTGGCGTATAAGGCGACTGGGCGTATAAGACGACCCCCTAATTTTCTAGTTAAAAGATAGGTTTTCGTCTTATACTCGCCATATAAGACTACCCCCCCTTAAGAGGCCAACCAGCAGCAACCCAGCGCGCCTGGCTTGCCCCGCTGCCCGAGCCCCTCCGCGGCTTTGCTCCGCGTCTTCCTGGTCTGCAGATCAGGGAGACGCGGAGCAGCTTTTCTCGCCCCGGAGTTCACGGGCGGTGGGACCGCGAGGTCCCGCAGTGCGTGTCCTCCAGGGAGAGAAAAGCTCCGTTCGTACCTGCAAGTCGGGGACTGCCTGTTTGTTTATACCTGGAAAATACGGTAACACATATTACATATATTTAAATTATATTGAAATACTTTAAAAGAATGTTAAGGTTACACAATTAAGCATTCATAATTTAGGAAATACCAGAACTAAGGTTGCCTTGTGCATATGCATTATGAGCATCTTTAATTACATGATAATGTGCTGTGTTTTGTGACATGTTAAATTCACATGTACAGGTTTGAATGATAGACACAGTGTGTGCAACTACCATGCATCTGCTGCAACTAATGGCATACATGAATGTCTATAAAAGACAGCAGTAAATCTTGAGTTAAGTCATACACTTTAAATATTTAAGTTGTGTGGCTTGTTCCAAAACAGTAGCATCTAATTCTTCTTTGTCAGTTGCAAAGTCTTGCAAAATTCCAAGATACAAAACTCAGTCTGTGAATCTGATGTGAGGAATGTGTCAGCATTGTCAAATTGCTGAGTACATATGTTTTTAGAAGACTAGAACATGTGTTATGTAGAAAGTTAACAGTCTATTTCTACAGTAGAACTAGGTAACTTATCACTGTAACTAGGGTTGCCAGATGGTTTTGACAAAAATACCGGATACACTTGATCTCAGATGGGGCGGGGGG